TGGCACCTGAACAAAAACGAGAAGAAAGAAGAAAGCAAGAAAGTCCCAAATAGGAATCTTTTAGCCCTGCTCCGTCCTGCCACTAAGCTCTGGCTTTGAGCGGTTAGGCCTCTCTGTTGTCTTTGGGGCCTCGGAGCCCTGTACTCCTGCTGCCAAGAACACAGGGTCCTCCTGGTGCAGACCAGGGTGGTTCTGTGGCCGTGGACTGTTCACAGGGCCCCCGCTGCCAGCCCAGAGACAACCATTCATCGGGGAAACTGCGGTTATGGCCACCATGACTGGGTACACTGCAGATGCTTCAGGGTGATGGAATTATGAGCAACCTTTTAGTCTTTTTTGTATTTTATTCTTTCTAAATTTCTACAATGAGCATGTATCATTCAGGAAAAAAAAAATCCCATAGCCAATAATAACATATTCTAAGAATGAGGAATAATGCTTAAGAAACAGTTTGCACCATGGCAGGACCAATGGAAAGAGCCGACACAGCCCAGGAAGCTGAGGGCTTCGAGAGAGACACCAGGACCATTTGTGTACATCAGCTCTGGTGGGACGGCTTAAAAGTCTGTCCCCTCACTCGACCATGTACCAGCTGGAGGACGGCACAGAAGACAACACGGCCAGTGTGCACCAATTATTCCTATTTGTGGTGAAATCACCTCTTACTCTGACTCATCATATTTCCCCGGGAAGGGCTGGATATATCCCCTGGGATGGTTGGCCCCTGGAGCAGAGGGGATATTTTCACTTTAACTATAAGAATCAGGCCGGGCGCGGTGGCTCACACCTGTAATCCTAGCACTCTGGGAGGCCGAGGCGGGGGGGATTGCTTGAGGTCAGGAGTTCGAGACCAGCCTGAGCAAGAGCGAGACCCCGTCTCTACTATAAATAGAAAGAAATTAATTGGCCAACTAATATATAGAAAAAACTAGCCGGGCATGGTGGCGCATGCCTGTAGTCCCAGCTACTTGGGAGGCTGAGGCAGGAAGATCGCTTGAGCCCAGGAGTTTGAGGTTGCTGTCAGCTAGGCTGACGCCACGGCACTCACTCTAGCCTGGGCAACAAAGCAAGACTCTGTCTCAAAAAAAAAAAAAAGAATCAACCATGCATCCTATACAAACCACACTACTGAAGGACGACCAGACTGTGTTTCTTCCCACTCCTTCCCCCTGCTACTTGAACATCAGTTAATTAACATGCTCAAATAAGCCAGATGAAGATAGAGTCTATCCTAAATGCCTCTGGGTGATGTACTCGAGTTCATTGTTCTGAATTTGGCTCAGGTGGGCAGCTTCGGAGACGTACGTCCTCCCATTACATCAGGACGGCTACACGTGGTGCTTTTGTTTCAGGCCTCCTAACATGCGTGTGGATGAGTATTGAGAGGTAGGACCCAGTCTCAGAGTGTCGGGGTAGCCTCTCCTCCTATCAAAGGAACAGCAAGTATTACTAGGGGAAACCACTCAGCCCCAGTGGGAGAATCTACCAAAGTGCCCCTGGGTAATCAAGGCAGGCTCTGCCTTGACTTGGAGGAGTTGTCCAGTCTGGGTGACTCCCTGATCCCTGAAGCTGAAAGGGTAGCGTCTTTGAAAGGCTAAGGCTTGTGCGAGGGTTGAAGCTGGAAGAGGCACAGATTTGATTTTTTATACTTGAATGCCGGAGAGCCACAGACCTCCTTATGAAACCTACAACTGCAACAAACAGGGAAGGGGGCTGCTTGGAGCCCGTGATCCTCTCTCGAGACAAATTACTTAATTATTTTAATTGACCAAAGTTGATGCAGAAAGAAAGTAAAAGTGATTGGAGACAGTGGAAAAGGAAACAGAAGTAGAAACAGTGACTCCAAAAATGAGGAAAGAAAGAAATGGGACCCTTCTTTAGGTAGTAGGCACCCTACTCTCCTGACTCCCCAGTCTAGTAAGGTGGAAAAGGAAATAAAAGTTGAAATGGGCCCCTTGCTCAAGGTTGACACGCATGGAGCTCAAAGCACATACATGTTCCTATGCTTTGCACCCATACACCTGTAAGGAATTTGAACTTGACCTGGGGGTGGGGCTGAGTTCTAGGGGGGCTACTGCGTACTTTGACTTGGAGTTAGTAGAATCTGACCTCCAGAGTCTCGCAATTCAAGGTTCCTCTCTTCCTTGGCCACCTCACAGCCAGAAAGCGTCAGTAAGTGCTTGGAGTTGCATGTTTCAATCTGTGGCCAAGCCCTGATGCTGAAGGGATCAAGGTCACCTGGACAGTTTCCCCAGTGGCCGGGACTTGTCCTCTGTACGTGGCCTCCATCCTGCCATGTGATGGGCGTGGTTTTGCTTTCCGGCAGGCCCAGACCCTGGAGTGTGACTGTCTGTACCTAGTGGGCCCCACTCTCAAAAAAGTCACTCGAAGCCCTGCTCTGCTGACAGTGAGTGGAGCCCAGGTGGTTCACGTCTATCCTGGGAGTCTTCCTAACATTCCAGGGATGCTCAAGGTTTCAAAAAGATGCAATAAGCTTTGTTAAAGGTCTGTCACAAAGATAAGTCATTGGATAGGCCAGATGATCTATTTATGGAAAATATGGAATTTTTTTTTTAAAAAGGGTATAATTAATGATAAGTCTGGGAGCCAGTGTCCTCAAGCATGGTTATTTATGAAAAATTTAAATGGTTCATAGCAAATTATCTCATATAGAATTTCCCCCCCACTTTCCTGTAACTGCAAAACAGTTGGGATTCAGGTCTGCTCTGTACAGACAAGCCCTCTGCCTCAAACATGCGTGTGGACACCCGCCTGTCCCTGCCTGTCCCCGCCTCAGCGCAGCCCACCCAAGAGGCTTGGAAGGAAGACACAAGGCCTCTCAATCTGAGATACTTTTCTTCACTTTTCCTTAAGCCCAAGTATGCCCTTCCCATTAAGGGAGAAATCTAACTTTTCAAAGAAAATTAAAAATAAAATTCCCAATTGAAAAACTGGGTTTTCCTGAAAATTATTTCCCTTCCCATAGAATAAATCCTTTGCTTTAAAAATAATCCTTAGCACTTCAGTTGGCAGCTAACAGCATGTCCTGTCAGCTCACGCCGTCTCCCAGCTCAACCAGACCCAGGGCACGCCCACACCGGACCTTTCGCAGAGCTGACCGGTGCTCCGGCAAGGAAGTCTTGAGCAGGGCACCACACCCACGTGCAGGTGCAGATCAACACGAACGCACACGGGATGCACACGGAATGCACACGGGATGCACACGGAATGCACACAGAATGCACACGGAATGCACCAGCGAGACACACGCTCACAGAGACCCACATTCGAGCCCACTCGTAACATCAGGTGTCCCGTCACATCCAGATATGAATCACATCCATCCACGCAGTAAAAAAGAGCAGATGCGGGTGGTGGACAGAGGGGAGAGAAGGCAAGTGGACAGCAGTGGGGAAAGCTGGAGGCTGGTGGGAACACAGGTTGCAAGACAGGCGGATGAAACCAAGGACGTGGCTACTGAGTGGTTGGCAAAGTTCCCAAAGCGTGTTTGCTTATGACACAATTGACGTCTCTGCTACATGGCTGATCATGGCTACAACGGCTCAGGGATTCTCTGCTTGCTCCCCCCCGGGGCTGCTCAGTGCCAGCAGGGTCACTGGGGTCACTGTGAGCTGCCCCTGCCCACTCCGGGGGGCCCCCGCCCCCACAGCATGCACAGCACTCGGGCTGACTCCTTGGCTCGCTGACACCCGCAGGGCCAGCGAGCCCCAGACACTGGGTGGATTTAGCCCACCTGTGCGTGGGTGCTAGCCACTAAGACGGCTGTGTTGGGGTTCATGGCCTTGAATCTCAAGAGGAAAAGGAAGAGGATGGAAAGAGTCAAGAGTTCTCCATTAATGTACACAATATCATACAAACTTGAGCCCACAGGAACGAAGGTGTTCTCTCTGCATGTGCCCCATTTGCTTTCATTTGTACAGAGGTCACCCCTAGGAAAAGGGCAGATGTCCAGTGACAGAGGACAGCTTCCATGATGGGGAGTGACAGTCCTGTTTGGTATACATACTTGTCCAACAGCAACCAGAGGCAACACTCCTTCTCCCTCCTGCACCGTGCGTTCCCCCTCTTCTCTCACGGCTTTTGTGCCCAGCTGTGTCTTGAACTTCCAAAATTAGAGGACTGAGTCCTGCAGAGTCAAATGTGAAGAACCACAGGGTCCTTTGGCCCAGTGGTTTGGTTCCTGGTTCTGCCCTCTGGGAATTTCAGCTGTACCAAAAATAATAATAATAAAAAAATACAACACAAACGATAAAACCCCACACTCAGGAAACATCCGCCCCACGCACGTGCACGTGCACATACACACACACTCCAGGGATCGGTGGCTGCAGAACTGGCACCCAGGGAGGCCTGCCCCTCGTGACATCTCTCGGGTCTCTGGGCCTCCGTCTGGGGCCGTGACACCTCTACAGCGATAGAGAGACAACAGTCATAATGCAATTATTTCCATTTAAAAGGTGGAAAAGAAAAAAGGAAACCACCCAAAGTACGTACACACACACACACACACACGCACACGCACACGCACGCACACGCACACGTCACAGCATTGCTCCAAGGCTGCAGTCCGCCCGGGGAGTGCGGGGCAGGGCCAGGACGGCCTCCTCTTCTCTGGGGGTAAGGCAGCTGGAAGGTAAGACTGGGTTTCTGCGCACCCGCTGAGGGGTCCCTCCATCCACGCGGATCTTGCCTCTCAGCACGCTCTCTCCCCTTCCCACCTCTGGAACTTTGTCCCAAAGTCTGGCAGCAAAGAGAAAACGCCCTTCTCGGTTTGTTTTCTCTGCCACTCCTCGTGTGTCGCTGGTGGGCCGGGGAGGAAACCAAAACAGGAAGAGCAGGAGAAGAAGTGGTTCTGAACGTGGCCTCGACAGTGTGGTTACATTCTATGAGCTAAGGGCTCTGTCGGCCTGTGACTCGACTGGCGGGGTGGCGTCCTCTCCTGCTGGCCCAGTGGGTGGCACGTCCCCCTCTACGCCTCAGACCACTGCCACCGTCCCTTCGCCGGTCTTCGTGAGCGGTGGGGGGTCAAGACGCTCTCACGGGTGGCGCCGTTCGCTCCGTCCTCAGGAAATCATGAAGCCAAAAGTCAGGAATTGATGGAAGAGCCACAGGATGGGGACACTTTCCCCATCTCGGTGATGAGGCAACGCAAAGTCTGGCGGGATGCAGGTGCCTGAGCCAACTCAACTCTTTCTTGGCACTGGCATCGTCTTGATTTAGTTTTGTTTTATATATGTATATTATATATATATTTATATATATATATATGTGTGTGTGTGTACGGGTTTGTTTTTTTAGCACACTGTCCCATTCTCGGGTCTGGATTTAGGGCAGTTGGTCCTCGGGACAGGTTGAACAGAGGGGGCCAAGGTACAGAAGAATCCCGAGATTAGTGTGAGGCCCAGGCCCCCCCACGCACAGAACATGGACCATCCATAGCCATGGCTGATGTCGTCGGGGAGTCCGTACAGGTAGCGTGGGTAGCGTGACAGCTCAAAGTTGATCCCAGCCACGCAGGTGCACAGTGAAATGATGCAGAAGGTTCCTGGAGGACAAGGGAAAAAATATGGGGTGGGGTGATGGAGAAGGAAAGGGAAGAGGAGAGGAAGAGAGAAAGAGAGAGAGAAAGTTAGGATGATTACGTTTTCAATTTTCTTGAGTAGGAAAAATGAGAAGATCCAGGTGAGAGCAAGTTATTAGCAAGGTCAGTAGCTGGAAGTAGTCACAGGGAGGAGAGTAGAATTGAGGGGTAGCACTTCCTTACTCTCCAGTCTTGGACAACCCAGGGAAGTCTCCTCTTTGGGCAAATACTAAATAGATATCTCATTAGGGTTTTGTGGGTGATGGTGTAAGGCAGGAAAGTATTCAGTTCATTTTCCTAAAGCATTTAAAATTCATTGCCTTTCTTTGGAGACACAAAGAACATCTCCTGTCTACTACTTCTTTAAAGAGAAAGAATATCTTTTTTGTTTCCTGTACATAACATCTTATACAATATTTTGTTTTCCTTTAATCTGTTTGCCAGCAACTTCCAAATCTGGAAATCTTTTCCTTTTTCCTAAAACACATCTCCAAAAGTGCTCTCCATGGGACACGAACCAGATGAGATATTCCTTTACAGCGTGGGAGGCAGGGTCAGAAGCCTGGGAACCCTCACTGACTTCTTACCCATGAAGACTCATAATCCGCATTCACATAAGTTAATTTATCTGACCTAGTGTTATATTTCACAAACTTATTTGATGATGGGACCTCCTCTTAAAAATATTACTCACATTAACCTCCAGTAAGACTGCTGTAAGAGGTAGAATGATAAAAATGGTTTAGAATTATACACCCGCTTTTAACCAATACAACAAATATTTGGTGTATCTGCAATGAATTCAAGAGCTTTTCTCTGTATTTGCTGTGTCTTATATTCCTTATGTAACCGCTGATACGAGAGCAATAACCACAGAATCATGCACAGCTTGGCAAGGCTGACCTGGGTCAACAGAAGGCAAAAGGAGAAGCTTATTTTTAAGGGGAGGGAACAAGAGGAGGTGCATTATTTGTTATGTTTATTATAAAAACTCTTGCTTTCTTTTTTTTTTTTTTTTGAGACAGAGTCTCACTTTGTTGCCTAGGCTAGAGTGAGTGCCATGGCGTCAGCCTAGCTCACAGCAACCTCAAACTCCTGGGCTCAAGCGATCCTTCTGTCTCAGCCTCCCAAGTAGCTGGGACTACAGGCATGAGCCACCATGCCCAGCTAATTTTTTCTATATATATTAGTTGGCCAATTAGTTTCTTTCTATTTATAGTAGAGACGGGGTCTCGCTCTTGCTCAGGCTGGTTTCGAACTCCCGACCTCGAGCAATCCACCCGCCTCGGCCTCCCAGAGAGCTAGGATTACAGGCTTGAGCCACTGCGCCCGGCCAACTCTTGCTTTCTAATCGCCAAGTTTCTTTAAGATCCAGCCTTGTTTAAGACCCTTTATTTCTTCCTTTCCCTTCCTCCAGGTTTCTGGAGAACAAGGGAAAAAATATGGAGTACAGTGATCATTTAAGTGGCCATAATAGCAGTAGTCAGACCTCACACGTATTAGGTGCTATGTGCTAGGAACTGGGCTGAGTGTACTGAATCTTTAATTCTTAAAGTAACTTTATGATGTAGGTTAGCTTATTATCCCCATTTTACTAATGAGGACATTGAGGTCCAGAGAGGTTAAGTCATTTGCCTAAGCTCACACAGCTAGTAGCTGGTAGAGCCAGGCTACCAACTCAGGCAGGCTAGATCTAGAGTTTGCAGACTTATCCACTATGCTATTTGCGATTTGTGTCAGGAAAGGTGGGTCCCTTCATGGATGTCCCCTGTTGTATACGTAGGTTCCAGATGAATTCTATTATCACTCAGCATGGGTTAGGGCAGTTTGTAGTCTTGGAGGACAGGTTATAGCTGACTGCTGGGCCCCACATCCACAATTCCTGGTTCAGGAGGTCTGGGGTGGGGTCTGAGAATTTGCACTCTTAACAAGTTCTTGGGTGACACTGATGCTACTGGTTGGGTTACCACACCTTGGAACTGCTAGGTTAGAAAAAGTTTTTATCGGAGAAGGATAAATTTAATAGGCCAAAGTTTAGATGACAGAGGAAGAAATACAAATGGGCAATACATTCGAAGAATGCTCAATTTTACCAATAATCAAAAAATTAAAACTTAAAAACAGGGTGATAGAGTATAATCAAATCAGCAAAATTTTGTTTTGATTTTTGTTTTGTTTTTTTAACGATCATCTCCAAAACTAGTAAGGGAGGAGTCAGATGGATCACCCCATAGACTTTAGGGGAAGTGTAAGCCGGTGTTCCTTACAGAAAAGTGATGATCCAGTGATTTCATTTTAGGTTGAGAAAATCATCTCACCTGGGGACAAAGATTTAGATCTGAAGATGTTCATACGGCGAAGGGGGCATTGAGCAGTGGCTGCCGGAGGAGGGGCCGAGGTAAGCCCCAGAGATTGGGGTGAGCACTGTTCTCAGAGCTGGGAAAAGTGGGGGGCTCAGAGCTTCAGGTGGGGTCAAGATACTTTGGTGACTCTAATATGCATTTACTAAGTCAGAAGTGTGGCAGACAGTCCAGAGGTACGGAGACCAGTTAGGAGGCTGCCGGGGTCATCTGGAAGAAGAAGGAGGGTCTGGCATGGTGGCAGCAGAGCCAGGAGCTCCTAGTGGCTTTGGTGGATGATTGTTTAGTCAATGACTGTTTGTAGGGACAACTGAAATTGATACTGCCAGGGGGACCCAGGTACCAGAATATATCAATATGTGTGTGTATGTATTTGTGTTTCTGCATGTGTGTGCACGTGTTTGTGTGTGCTCGTGTGTATGTATTTGTGCATACATGCGTACAGACATACACGCACCATCACTGCTTGTGAGAACAGTGGTCCTAAACTTGTGGGAGCCACGAAGCATCAAGGTTCCCTGTGTGTCACTAGGTCTCCGACTGAGTTCTCTGATGGTACCCAGGGTGGACCAGGTCTCAGCCTAGACTTCCTGAGTCAGAAGAGTGGAGGAATCTTTACTTTTTAGAAGTTCCTCAGATGACTTCTGTTGACCAGCCTGTTTGGACCCTTGTGTGGGGCAGAGGTGCTTGCATCACCCGGGCAGGACAGGGAAAGGAGGCGGCCTTCAGGGCACAGCCAAGGAGGGAGCAAAAGAAAGCTGTGTCGTGACACTGATTTTAAATAATTCAGATTCCAACACACCAAAGCTGGCCTCCTCATGCCCCACCTCCTGTGGATGTGCTTCTAATTGTTGGTTCGGGAACCTATCATTGGATGTGCAGTGCTGTAATTTACTAAAAGTTCGATTTAGGACAGGAAGTGGAGGGAAAGTGGGGGAAGTTCAAGTTCATGCTGCCCTTAGGATGTTCATGGCTCTTGGAAACATGGATCTGGAGCCTGATGGAAAGTTCTGAACCAGAGATGTGGCCTGAGTCATCACCTCATCAACTGAAGCCCTGGATGTGGCTGAGGTCACCCGAGGACTTCATACAAACTGTTTCTATGTAGGATACTGTACAGAATGGAGACATTGCTTCTCATCCAACGCTGCAGTATCCTCTTGGTTAAATCCAGTGATTTGTTCTGGGGGTGAAAGTCAACCTCAAGGAGGTCATAGTCTTCCCAAGCTGCCACCAGCTAGAAAAGCCTGATACACGCGATTCTCACAGCGTCTTCCACAAGCAGGGTGGCCAGACACAAAGCATGCGGTTGATAAATGGAGAGCGATGAGAGAAGGACCACATGGACCTAATTACCAATTGAAAATGACCCAACTTCTTCCTAACAGACATCTTGTTGTTATGTTAATGAATTAACAAGGGGATCTTCCTGCCCGCACTGCCTGTCAGCTGTTCTGTGACTTTGGCGCCTTCTACAATTCCTTCTGTCTCTTAACACTCATCAATATCCCCATACATGGGCAGACACTTGCATGGCTCATGCCATTTGCTGGAAAATTCCACGTGACAAAGAGGGAGGAGTTAGAAGAAGTTTTATTAGTTTCCATGTAAACTCTTTACTGTTATGGGTAAGGATTTATATTTTTATGTACCTCTCTACTTACGAATTCAAATTCGGAAATGTGTATTAATAATTAGAAATAGATAGATGGAGGCACATCGTAGATCCTCAATAAATGGATGGAAGGAATAACGTGTTGTCATTGTTAGCACCATATTCTGACAGTTCAAATAACCGTGAGCTTGGACAAACATCAGTTGAGCCCTAGGGAGTGGGGGAGGAAGGGGACACAGCAGGGCAGGAACCCCGCCTAATGTGGCTTTCTGCCTAGTGTGATGAACACATCTCTGCCTGTGGTTTGGGGGCTAACTGGGGAGGGTGGGGTGCAGAATGCCCTCCCCACCCACGGATGCACTAAGGCTGGGGGAAGGGTCCTCTGGGAAACTAATGCGCATTTTTTAAAGGGCTCTGCTGGAAAAGAAGTCTCAATTAAAGGACAGCAATAGATACGACAGCACAAGGAATTGCAGCCTCCTCCATTTACCCAAAGTTCAGCGGTCCCTTAGGCAAGTGGCGCAGGGCTGGGGAGGACTACTGAGACAAAGGGGTTTCTGCTCAGAGACTAGTCTACTCTGTGGGAAACAGGAAGTCCTATTCTCCCATCCCCCATCTCCCCCTGCAGTAGCAGGCCATGGCCTCTGGGGCTAGGTCTTTAGGATCTGTCATGTTCTTTCTCATGAACACTTACTCATAGATAAGTGAGAATCCAAGAAAGACAATAAATAGTAATGTACAGTCATTAGCAATGACTAGCAATGCCCCCCAGTGGAGCCGGGTTTGGGCCTAATTCGAATCAGACTCCAGTACTCATTGTAGTCACCGTTAAGTAAGGAAATGCGAAGAACTCTGGCCTCTTTGGAGCCAGGCTCTGCCACGCAGTCCACACGCTGGCTGTGAGCAGTGCCAGGTGGTGACTCGGGTGGTGACTGGTGGTAAGCAATGCCAGGTTGGGGGTAGGTTAACCTTGATGGGGTGCCAGTGGA